TGTTATTCCTGCAATGTAATCATTGCAGTTTCTCAAATGTTGTACATTGCAGGACTAAGTAGGAGAGGGACACTGCACCCAGACCACTTCAAAGAGCTGAAGTGGCCTGGGTGCCTAATAGTGTTAAAGGAACACTATAGTCACCTAAATTACTTTAGCTAAATAAAGCAGTTTTAGTGTATAGATCATTCCTCTGCAATTGCACTGCTCAATTCACTGCCATTTAGGAGTTAAATCACTTTGTTTCTGTTTATGCAGCCCAGGCCACACCTCCCCTGGTTATGATTGACAGAGCCTGCATGAAAAAAAAACGGTTTTCACTTTCAAACAGATGTAATTTACCTTAAATAATTGTATCTCAATCTCTAAATTGAACTTTAATCACATACAGGAGGCTCTTGCAGGGTCTTGTTCAGGTGACTAGAGTGTTCCTTTAATATGGAGGAAATATTGACCCTATAAACCTTTTTTTTTTTACTATTTATGTGGCAGCTGGCTAGTAAGCACACTGCCTCACACAGTGTTATCCCTCTCACTATACTTGAAAACCTAATTTAGGTGATCACTCTCAATCTGAAGTAAAACACTTATAAATGCGGATTCCTGGAAATACTTCCAAGTGTAATAAAATACAGTAAAGCAGACAACCATAAGTGTAGTACTCAAATAATCATGAAAAGTCTTGCTACAGGGTCCAATAAATCTTGGGTGATGATATTTCCTGTCTGATTCTTGTCTTTCCTCCCACGGCCGATTGCATGCTCCAGCAGGCCAGACACTCCCCCTTCCCTCCTGCTTGCCTTGCGCAGAGAAGAGCAGGGCTGAAACTGGAGGAAGGGCAGCTCATCTTAAAGGACCACTATAGGCACCCAGACCACTACAGCTTAATGAAGTGGTCTGGGTGCCAGGTCCATCTAGGATTAACCCATTTCAGAGAAACTGCTATGTTTACAAATGGGTTAATCCAGCCTCTAGTGGCTGTCTCATTGGCAGCTGCTAGAGGCGCTACTCACTGTGATTTTCACAGTGAGAAGACACCAGCGTCCATAGGAAAGCATTGAGAATGCTTTCCTATGAAACTGGCTGAATGCGTGTGTGGCTCTTGCCGTTCATGCGCATTCAGCCGATGACGGGAAAAGGAGGAGGAGAGTCTCCAGCACTGAGGGAGCCCGGCGCTGGAGAAAAGTGTTTTACCCCTTCCTCTCCAGCCAGGATGGCAGGAGTGGGACCCTGAGGGTGGGGGCACCCTCAGGGCACTAGAGTGTCAGGAAAAAGAGTGTTTTCCTGGCACTATAGTGGTCCTTTAAGGTAGTGGAAGAGGGGCTTGAGGGACCTTCCTGTGTAGTCTGCTAAACTGAGGAGAGAGGCAGTGTATTAATTTTAGAGAGGGGGCACTGTATCAATATGGGGGAGGGAGAAGGCCAACATATTAATTTGTGGAGGAAGGGCCAGTGTATTAAATTGGGGGAGGGAGCGGAGCAGTGTGTTAGAGTGGTGAGTGGGGGAGGCAGTGTTTTAAATTGGAGGAGGGAGGGCAGTGTATTAAATTAGAGTGCTGAGAGGAGGGGCAGTATATTAGATTAAGGGGAGTGTATTAGATTGGGTGGGGGATCAGTGTATTGGGTTTGGGGGCAATGTGTTGACAGTGTATTAGAATGGGGGCAGGGGGCAATGTATTAGATTGGGTCTGAATGGAGCCACTGAAGCTCCCAATGGAGATGCTGATTGGCCGTGCAGCTTTTTACAACACATGCACACTAGCCTCCCAATCCTTTCTCAGCCAAAGTGAAAAACACACTCATAGGACTTCAAAATCAACAATATAACGTCATTCGTATTTTTACAGCTGTGCAACACCATACATTCACCGTTTCAGTCCCATTACCAAACTTTTCTTAATATGTCAAGGTAGTTGGACTGAAACATCGGTTATATTAAAATGCATGTCTCCTTATAATAAATGTGTTCTTTTGTTTACTTTAAAGTCCTACGAGTGTGAGGATGTCCAGTGTGTTAGGCAATTTTTTTTATACAATACTTTTCTAAATAAACCTACGATTCTATGAAAACTGATGGTTTTAGGTCTTCAGAGGCTATACCACCTATATCAGGGTACTGACATGGTCACATTTGACGATCTCAAGCAGGGCAGGCATCTGACACCGGCAGACTTTTCCCGCTATCTACAGATCAGGGACATCCCCTAACCTTTTTCGAACGCATATGCACCTCAGAAAACATACCCAGAGGACTGATCTCAACACTATATACACACTTCTGCACGGAGACGGGGGAATGGGGGTGACTGGCCTACACTGAAAAGTGGGAGAAGGATCTGGGAGAAGAGCTAGAGGGGGTAGAATGGCAGGAGATATGGGAGGCGAACAACACATCCTCAGTCTGTGTAATTCACCAGGAACAGGCATTTAAAACAATGTATCGCTGGTATACAACGCCAGTAACCCTGTACAAAATGCACAAAACTACGACAGACTTATGCTGGAGAGGCTGCGGAGCCAGGGGAACGTACCTCCACATGTGGTGGGAATGCCCCGGCGCAATCCCGTTTTGGGCAGCAGTGCACAACCTGGTGAGACAGGTGTTCTCTAGGACGCCCGCGTTGGAACCATGGGTATATCTCCTGAGCAGGTCGATAGAGGGATGGACGCTAAGGGAGCAAATGCTGCTCCATAAGATCACGCTAGCCACATGACAGGCAATGGCCTTTACATGGCTACAGTGGGACCTACCACAAATATCGAGCGTGATAGGATAAAAGACATCCAGGTGATGGATGACCTTACCGCTAGGGTCAGGGGCACCACCAAGACCTTCCAAAAGGTGGGGGAGCCTTGGGTCGTGTCCCAGTGGGGCAATGGTGGGGGGAGGGGTGCGGCCTAGGCAAAACAGACCGAGGTAGGTGTAGTGGACTGAGAGGGGGGCCCTTACGGACTAGCGGGCAGGTCCCGCGTAGGTAGGTGCGGCGCCTTGTGCCTCCCCGCCTCCTGCTGCCCCTCGGCCTCTCGTGATCGGGCCCTAGACCGCCTAAGGACTCTTCTTTCACTTCTTTCTCTTTCCTTCTCCATTCTCTAAACCCCGCTCTGGGGAACATGAATAGAAGAGAGTGCCAAAAAAGCTCACAGCACATGCATTAGACAGAGGCAGGCCAGGAGAGTGCAGCGGGATGGGGCTGAATCAAGCAGTCGAGAGGGTAGACACCCCGATAGATATGCACTCGAAGGCGTGACAACACACTAGAGGTGTGAAAAAGTGCAACGAGGGCACACACAATAGGGTATATAATGAAACCGTGCTACGACACGGTAAAAAACGTGACGGACGATGAAATCTGGCCACAGAGAAGTTACTCACATACACAAAGCCTCAGGGTTAGCATGGGATTTTAATATAAAGATGTATATGGGCTTCTGCAAAAGCCGAAATGTAATGCCTATGCCACTGTTCCTGTCATGTAAAAATAAAGAATAAAAAAAAAACTGATGGTTTTGTTTTTTTGCGGCTCGCGTGAACTTAAACCTTGTTTATTTAGCCCGTGTTAGCCTTTGAGTTTGACATGCTTGCTGTACGGTAATGATAATTGATACCTGAAAACATATTACATCAAGGGGAAGAAATATATTGGGTAACCATGTTTGGCACACTTTGGCTAACCAATTTGTAAAGATAAAGCATAAATATTAACTACAGCTTATTTCCTATTGTTGGTGCATGCAACTGTACTCCTAAAAAGATAAAATGTCAATATTCTCCAAGTTAATGGTTTTCAGAGTGGCCTAAAACATGAAACAGCTCTGATGCGTCGAGGCATGTGTAACGGATCGACGGGCACCCCGACTGGGTACCTCCGTTGATGGATGCTCCTAGCGCTTCCTGCAAAAACAGCTCTGATGCGTCGAGGCATGTGTAACAGATCGACGGGCACCCCGACTGGGTACCTCCGTTGATGGATGCTCCTAGCGCTTCCTGAGGGCTCCAAGCACTCCAGCCGACACCATAACCACCGGAGACTCCCCAGAGAGCAATGCAGGAACAAGCTCTTACAAGAGCTTAGTAGTGATTTAGCAAGGGAGTATGACAAGCATAGCAATCCCTTGTAGCAGATTCCCCCAATAAGAGACGGCACTCCAAATTGAGGGTGAAGTAGAACTGCCAGAGCTGTGGGTTTATTGTTCTTATATACACATTCTTACACATTAGTACCACCCACAGGGTTTTGTAAAACAACCAATAAACTTGTACAATACGCTCAGACACTCCTACACAAAATCCTCCACTCTGCCTGTGATACAATTACCTTACACAATGGATTAATATAATTATCACAGGCAGGAAAATACACAGTTTTACACAATATTCATAACTTTAAAAGTATGCATCACATTCACATTCTTACTTTTTCAGAATCAGCATACTCCAAATACACACATACGTCAAAATCATACAAATTGGTCCAGTGGGTCAAAAGTTAGATCGACGTCCTTTGTGACCAAATGAAGCATGGCTTTTCTGCCTAAAACCAGTTCCACAGAGTCTTCTATCCTGGAGATAATTGGGAAGTAATCCAATTATCTCTAAGGACAGAGGAGAAACCCCATTAGCCACATGGTAGCAAAATATAGTAAAATACATAAAAATATATAACTGTGCAGCTATTGCATAAAACAGGTACATTCAACAGATAGCTTAGATCTGATCGCTTAGATCTGAGCGCACATTATTACTGAATGGAGCTCAGATCACATACATACAGTTCAATTGCCATGGAGCCAAAGTCTTTCACATAGTCTTTCGTTATACGAATGGGCTCCATGGCATAGCTATCTGGGGTAACACTACTCACATAGGGCAAGTACCGAATGACCCGGCTTTCTGATCTTTGCAGGGGAAAATCAAGCATTTCAACATGGGGCCATAGTCACAGGACAGGAGGCTGGCAATCAGTCTTCTCCAAAGCCCAGTGGCGAGGCTGGTTCCGCCACAGCATGGAATCCATATGACCTCTGAACGTGTCCTATGGTATCTCGCACCAAGATATTAGCAGCAGATCCTTTAAGTCCTGCAAGTTGCCAGGAGGTACCTCCATGGATCAGATGTATTGACCCTGACACTGGTAATTCAGTTGTTCTTCCTTGCACCACTTTTGGTAAGTAATAATTGCTGCGTACTTTAAACACCCCACAAGACTTGCCATTTTGGAAATGCTCTAAGTATTCTAGCCATCTTTATTTGGCCCTTGTCAATGTCACTCTTTTTTGCTTGCCCATTTTTCCTGCTTCCAGCACATGAAATTCAATAACTGACTGTTCACTTGCAGAGTAATATATTCCATCCCTTGACAGGTACCACTGTAACATTATATTCAATGTTATTAATTTCACCTTTCAGAGGTTTTAACATTGTGGCTGATCAGGGTCTACTACACAAACGTTCAATTAAAATGTGATTTAGAATATGACAATACAATGGAGACAATTTAACTGATTTCAGCATGGCAGTATTAACTCATGGGCTAATTGATCTGAAGAAGCTCCATGCCCATGTAATAGAGCAATTCGAAAAAAGGGTCCAGTCAGCGCTGTGGCCATGTAATAGCACGACCCTTTAAAAATATCACCCGCAAGTACTGCGGGGAGGAAGTGATAGCCAGTCACTTCCTCCCAGCTCACTTCTCGCGGGAGGGAGGACAGACAGGCTGTGAAGATGGAGAGCCACGCCGACTCCCATCAGCCTCAGCCACGCTCCTGCAACGAAAATGTAAGAAACAAGAGGGTGGCTGAAAACTTAGGTGTGTGTCTGTCCATATGTATGTCTATATGTATGTCCTTATGCATATGTATGTTAGTATGTGTTTGTGTGTCACTATGCATGTCTACGTATATGTATGTTAGTATGTGTCTGTATATGTGTGCATGTCTGTTTTAGTATGTTTGTCAGTATATATACCTGCATGTGTGTATGTCTGATTAAGTATGTGTCTGTGTGTATTCTTGGTCAGTGTTTGAGTGTGTGTGCCTGTGTGGATATAAATGTGTGCACTTCAGCACTTCGGAATCTCGACATTTCGGCACCTCTGGACTTCTATTGCAGCCGCTTAGTAGATAACTCCCTAATTCCCACGGTATTAGGGAGCTATCTACCAAAAGGCTGAAAGACCTAAATTGGTCTTTCAGCTAAATTTACTAATACTAAGTAACAATTACTTAGTATTAGTAAATTTTGCCTCTACTCGCTATACCGTGAGTAGGGGCATGTCTATTAAACAGTGAGCAGCCTGTGGCAGCTCACTGTTTTAAAAAAATAAATAAAAAAAATAGGGTCCCCCCTCTCGAGCCCCCACCCGCGCTTTTAAACTAAAGGGGGGACCTATTGCCCCACCCGGGCCTCCACCCCTGAGCGACGGGTGGGGGGCCAAAAGTAAAATGATGGGGGGGACCTATTGTCCTCCCCCCTGGCCCCCACCCCTGAGCTGCGGGTGGGGGCCCTAACTTGGAATAAGGGGGGGGACCTAATGTCCTCCCCCCTGGCCCCCACCCCTGAGTGGTGGGTGGGGGCCCTAAATTGGAATAAAGGGGGGACCTAATGTCCTCCCCCCTGGCCCCCACCCCTGAGCGGTGGGTTGGGGCACCAAAACAACCAAGGACATTAGTTGGTTTGAAATCCACCAATCAGAGTGCTCTGTGTCATTTTACAGTGTGGGAAAGTTCTTTGGAATTTTCCCACGCTGTGTAATTTGACTCATAACTCTCTGATTGGTTACTTAATCCACCAATCAGAGTGTTATGAGTCAAATTACACAGCGTGTAACAAGGGGGCGGTGGTGTGGAGAACAAACAGGGGGGTGAAGAGAACACACAAGGGGGAGTGAGGAGAACACACAAGGGGGGGGTGAGGAGAACACACATGGGGAGGGTGAGGGGACACAGAGGGGTGTGAGGGAACACAGGGTGGGGGAGAGTCCACTGAGGGAGGGAGGTGAGAGGCGTGGGAGGGAGGGGAGTCCACTGAGGGGGTGAGGAGAGACCACTAAAGGAGGGTGGGAGGAGAGCGAGACCACTGGAGGAGGGGGTGAAGGAGGAGCCACACTAGGGGAGGGTGAGAAGAGACCACTAGGGGAGGGTGGAGGGGAGGAGAGACCACTAATAGAAGGGGGGAGAGAAGAGACCACTAATGGAAAGGGGGGCAGAGACGAGAGACCACTAATGGAAAGTCGGGGAGGAGAGTAGAGATCACTAAGGGACAGGGGAAGAGAAGAGAGACCACTAAGGGGCAGAGGAGAGCTCTAAAGGATGGAAGGAATATCTCTGCAGGGCAGGGAGCTCTTTCACACTACGCACACACAATGCATCCCTACACAAACAGAAAAACAACATGCTTCCCTTAAACACAGAGAAACACACAATTCAACCCTTACACCAGGGCCAGATTAACAGCCCAGTGGGCCTGGTGCTGACAATTATGACGGGCCTAATTAAAGAATCATATTGACCAAAAACACTAAAACACTCCCAAGCGTCATGTATCTGATGGAGATGGTGCTGGAGAGAAAGAAAACAGCAGCTATAAGAAAACACATACCCTAGGCTAATCTCTCTCTAATTTATGTTTTCATCTTTCAAGTAAATCCATAACCCCTAACAGCAGTGTCC